ACTCTACCATCACCATTTTCAGAGAATGAGGGGCTTTGTGCTATCTGGGCACCTTGGGGCAGGGAGCTTGAAAGGCAGAGACCTGAGCACAGGGCTGTCTGCCTTCTGAATACCACTGTCCTGAACCTCACTCATTTTAGTGCAAGAAAAAGTGAGCTAGAACTTTGGGAGGAGGATTCAGAAATATAGAAACATGTTGGAAATTGTTTTTATCTGCCATTTCCCAGTGGTAGAAAAATGGAGGCTGTTAAGGAGGGACTGTAGAGGGGGATCAGCGGCCCAAGGGAAAAGGGTAAGGGTAGCAGGAATTGGGAAAGTTTTGACAACTATAGTTCAAAAAGAGTCAGTGTCCCTGTTACCAAGTCATTTGCTTCACAATCCCTCATTCACCATCTGTCTTCTCTCTACAGGTCTTCAGGTCTGTGGTTGCATAAGAGAAGGAAAGACCTGCAGGAGCAGTGCAGGTCAGTGGGAAAGAACAACTACCCCAGGACCCCTGGGAGTAGGAGTGATCTAAGCCTGAGCAGAAGTTGAGGAGGCCATCTCCTGCCACCTCTCTTCCAAGTTTTCCTATTCCAGCCTCAGAATCTATGGCCTCTGTCGGGACCCTAAGGGAACTTGGTGCTTTACGGCTGGTGAGGATGGTGGGGGAGAACAAGGAAGTGAGAGATGGTGGTGTGGCATCTGTGAAGCCTCTTGAAAATATTAGAGTTCCCCTGAAATCTGAGAACTGGCCATTGCTGTTGTGTCTGTAGATCTGTAAGTCTTATAATTGCAAGCAAGGGAAAAAAGAGACTAGTCAGAATTCTTGCAGGTCATTTTAAGTTGGGGGCTACCCAGTTAAAATTGTTATTGGCACACCTAAGGCCAGAGAAAAGTTTAGGGACACATCTGTTCTTACATACTTCTCAACACACTCCGCTTAAATACACGGAGAAGCACTTATGGAAGTTTCTATAAGGCTGGCTCATGCAAACATGTGTGGAGTGGGAGGGAAAGGAGAAAAAGTATGGGTGGGAGTGCACTTGAATGTTTCCTGTGAGGAAACCCCTACATCATAAAGGCAAGTATCAGGACCTGTGTTCCACCACCTAAGTCCTCAGTCCCCTTTGTCTCCTCTTTGCCTCCTAGGACAGGCAAAGGAGGGGACATCTCAAGATGGAAAAACTCTACAAGGAAAATGAAGGAAAGCTGGAAATCGAGGGAAAGCCAGAAGATGAAGTAGATACAGAAGATGAGGGAAAGTCAAATGAGGAAGAAAAGCCAGAAGTGGAGGGGAAGCCAGAGCATGAGGAAAAGCTCCAAGACCAAGGACAGCTAGATGACGCGGGGAAACAAGAAAAGCAGAGCAAGTCCCAAGGTGAGGAGAAAGCATGCAGTGAGGGCAAGCCAGAACCCCAGGCCAAGCCAGAGAGCCAGCTGCGAGCTGCCGAAAAACGCCCGGCTGAAGAGTATGTGCCCCGGAAAGCTAAGCAAAAAACGGACAGGTGGACGGATGATTCCCTCAAGGACTATCAGGAGGACTTACAGAAAAGGCATTTGGGCATTGAGGAGAGGATGAGAGAATGTGGAGATGTGTCAAGGGCTCAGGAAGAGCTAAGGAAAAGACAGAAAACAGGTAGTTTTCACTGGATGCAAAGAGATGTACAGGATCCATTCTTCCCAAGGGGCCAGCGGGGTGTCAGGGGAGTGAGGGGTGGAGGTAGGGGCCACAAAGACTTTGAAGACAGTCCATATATTTAATGCCTTTGGCCTTTAAATCAATTTATCTGATGGGAATATTGCCAACCCTGCTTTCCCTGGCAGGCGTTTGCCAGGCAATGTGCTTTAACTTCATGCTGATACTTTACATTAGGCATCACCCTTGTTACCAGCAGCCTTTTGCTCCAACTACACAGTGCTCTCTGTTTCAGTAGGGGATTTTCACCCATGTGCATGGAATATATGTTCATGGTACATTGTAAAAATAATAAATAGTTTTCAGAACTGCATATACAGCATCAGCCATTTTGGGGGGAGAAAAAGTTACACAATGCACCCATGTGTAGGAAAAATTATGGAACAGTGGACCAAAGGAGGAATAATGATTTTCTCTGTGTGGTGACAGTGGGGGAGCTTATGCTTTTTCTCATTTGCACTTTTCCCCCTAAAAACATATTACTTTGTCATAAAATAAAAAATAATACAAATGAAATATTTTTAAAAGTAGAAAAATATATACCAAGCAATCAAAATAACTGTTCAGTGAGTTTATGAAGGTAGTGGAGACACTTCGAATTCCTGTTGTCAGGATGTGAAATTATGTGTAAAACTCACATTATCTCTGAGACTCGAAGATGGAGGAATCAACCAGGCAGCTATGCATCCATTGTGTTGTCATCTGTGAAATGGGAATAAAAATTGCCTTCAGGGCTGTGGAGATCAGATGAGATACTGAGTGTATAAGCTGTGTTGGGCTGGCTCCTACCTTACCCTTCACTAGCAAGGCCAGAACCCTGTCAGATGTTTGGAGTAGGATGAGGAAGTTCTCAATTTTGCCTGAGAATAAGTCCAGACAGCTGAGAGGTGGATGCCACTCTCTTCTGGGACATACCATATCTGTTGGGCACTCTGCCTCTTGTCATGGGCCCTGCACCCTCCTAAGGGCCCCACTGCTCCTGGTAGGCTGGAGTCCCCAAGGTAACAAAGCCCTTTTGATTTCCCTGGAGTCCCTGGTGAGTTGAATCCCCACTATATTCCCTACTGAACTTTGAAGAAGGTCCCTCTTCTCATGTTATAATTGTATTAATCCTGACATGAAATGTGAAAAAAATACATTGTAAAATCGTTATTAATATATTTTAGGCATTATAATTACCCCCACTAGACTTGCACTTCTCAAAGCAAAGAAATCTTACTCATTTTGGTAGCCACAATACATAATGGAAGCTAAAAAATCAATACATTAATTATGAAGTTAGAAGGTCTCAATTCTTGGCCCCGTTATTGGCCTGATTGAATACATAGCCTTAAGCATGTAATTTCATTCTTTAGTAACTGAAATTTGCTACTCCGAAAGGAGCATAGCAGGAGAGTACGTTGATTACAAGATACATTGATTTTTAACATTGGGTATAGAAGTGTTTCTCAAAATTTTCTAGCTACTAGCAGGTTACCTGCACCCAAATCTATCTTGAAAATGCAGAATCCTGGCTCCCACCTCAGTTTCAATGCATCAGAATCTCTTTTGACCTGTTCTCACAATGTCTCTGTGTGTACAGATACAGTGAAAAGGAAAAGAAGAATTTTTTTTTCTGTGTGATGGGAACTCTTATGTTTTTAGCTCATTTTACTTTTTATCAAATGGATACATGTACAAAATTTTAAAATCCAATAGTGCAAAATAATTTATTATTAAAAACTCTGGTCTGCCTTGCCATTCCACATTCCCTCTCCACAGACAACTACCATAATGTTTTGGATTACTTCTTATATTTGCCTCTGTATTTCTGAATCATATGATTAGGCTGCTTTTCTTTGTTAAACGGCTTCATCATCGAAGTGTAATTTACATACCACAAAATTGACCCTCAAAATTGTGCACACTTAAGGCACACAATTCATTGTTTTGGGATTTTTTTTAGTATATTAACAGAGTTCTGAAACCATCACAATTATCTAGTTTTAGGGCATTTTCATCACCCTAAAAAGAGCCCCATGTCCATTAGCACCTACTGCATTCCCTCTCCCCACCAGCATCTGGCAAACACTGATCTATTTTCTGTCTCGATAGATTTCCTTATTCTAGACATTTCATATGAAAGGAATCACAATATATGGCTTCTTATATCTGACTTCTAGCATAATGTTTTCAAGGTTTATCCATACTGTAGCATGTATCAGTACTGAACATTCATGTAGATGTTTTATTTGCTTTTTAAAAATAAACTATTAAGTCAAAATATAAAATTTACAAGTACAGAAATGATGGTTCTGCCTTAGTTTATTATGTAGATAACCTCAGAGCATGCTAATGAAGGTATATTATAAATTCAATTTTTTGTTTTGTGTCTGGTTTAAAGAAAACACAAGTATTTGATATTCTAGTTAATTTCTGTTGGAAGAAGCAAAGATATTTATTTTTATTTTTTAAAGAAAATTTTGTTTCCAGTTTTATTGAGATATAATTAACATACATCACTATATAAGATTAAGGTGCACAGCACAATGGTTAGACTTACATATACTGTGAAATGATCACCACAGTATGTTTAATTCACATCTATCACCTCATATAGATACAGTGAAAAGAAAAAGAAAACATTTTTTTCTGTGTGTTGAGAACTCTTAGGATTTATTCTCTTTACATTACACACACACACACACACACACACATACATATCATATAACAGTGAAAATGTTTTGTGTGTGAGCATGTTTTAATTTTCTTGGATATATATATATATATATATATATATATATATATATATATATATATATGGAATTGCTAGGTCATGTGATAACTCTATGTTTAACTTTTTTTAAAATCCTCACCAGAGGATATTTTTTCCATTGATTTTTTAGAGAGAGTGGAAGGAAGGGAGGAGGGAAGGAAGAAGAGAGAGAGAAAGAGAGAGAAACATCAATGTGAGACATTAATTGGTTGCCTCCCTCTCACGCCCCTACCAGGGCCCAGGTTCAAATATGTAACCAAGGTACGTGTCCTTGACCCAGAATCGAACCCACAACCCTTCAGTCGCAGGCTGATGCTCTAACCACTGAACAAAACCAGCCAGGGCTATGTTTAACTTTTTGAGAAACTACCAAATTATTTTCCAAAAGCAACTGTGGCATTTGACAACCCCATCAGTAGTGTACAAAGGTTCCAATTTCTCCATATTCTCACCAACACTTGTCATTGCCTGTAATTTCTATTATAGCCATCTTAGTGGGTATGAAATAGAATCACATTATGGTTTTGATTTACATTTCCCTACTGGCTAATGATGTTGAGCATTTATTGATGTGCATATTGGCTATTTGTACATCTTCATTGGAGAAATGTCTATTCAAATCCTTTACCCATTTTAAAATTGGGTTGGTTTCTTGTTATTGTTGAGTTGTAAGAGTACTTTGCTTATTCTCAACACAAACAAGTCCTATATCAGATGTATAACTTGCAACTGCTATTTCTTGACTTAACTTTAATCATTTTTATTGACTTTCTGATATGATAATTGAGTAGTTACCTCTTACTATCATAATCTCCACTATCTATTTCCTGATCCCAATACAGTTTTACCACATATAATGTGTATTTCAACAAACATTCCAATGATTCTGTTGCTTAACTCTGAGGGCCTTTAGGTCCACTCGTCAAGTTAGGCTAAGCATATGCTAGGATAGCTACTAATCCCAAAACATCAGTGGCTTAACACAACAAAGGTTTATTTCTCAAACTTTATGAGGATTGGGGATGAAGAGATTCTTCTCCCCCTAGTTTCCCAGAGATTCAGACTAATCATGATGCCACCACAGCAGAGAAAAAAGAATGCATGGAGATCTCATACTCATTTTTCTACACTTTGGTCTAGAAGTCATATAAATCACCGATATTCACAGTCCACTTTTTCATATTTCTATCTCTTTTAATTCCGACAAGAAATTCTGAAAGAAGTGCTGTTATGCTCTCTATATAGGTGACTGAACTGATGCTCAAAAAGTGTACGTGATTTATGCAAGGTGACATCAGTAAGGGGAAAAGCTTAGGTTGGAACCTCGGTTTATTTGGCTCTAAATTGATAATCCTTAACTAGTTTGATTTCCTAAATCCAAGGATTTGAATTTTATTTTCACCTTTTGGTTAATCAATCCTTTAAGATGTCAGAACAGTGGTAATGGTTATTCAGATGACATACTTAAGAGGAAAGCTCACAATGGCATTGCTTCCTCCACCATTAATGCCTTAAAAAGGAATTGCATGCCAATTGACAGTTTAACTGCCTTGGCCACCAAATCATGAACTATGCTTACAGTGCATGTGGATGTTCAGATGGTTGTGCTATGGAGTTTTATTTCTATCCCTACAAAGTTCTTCATATACCAAAGGGAAAAAGTACTGGAAAAAATACAAAGCTTTATGACTAACAATGAAAGTCTTGAGCCTATCACCTGTTGTTCCAACAGATAATGTTGCTAAGGACAGCCATATAATAAGAGATATCTATTTTGCTTCTCCATCACTATATTCCCAAACACAAAAAATGCTTCTGGGGTAGAGAGAGAAGTATTTCTTTTTTTAAAAAAAAGTTATTTCAGAGAGAGGGAGCGGGAGAGAGAGAGATAGAAACATCAATGATGAGAGATAACCATTGATTGGCTACCTCCTGCATACCCAACACTGGGGATCGAGCCTGCAACCCAGGCATATGCCCTGACCGGGAATCGAACCGTGACCTCCTGGTTCATAGGTAGATGCTCAACCACTAAGCCGGCAGAGAGAAGATTTCTGAGAATAGTATCCAACTTCCTGTCCACTGCAAATCATTAGAACAAAAAAATTTGTATTGCTTATGGGAACCACAGGGAATTTATATCAAATGTCGTATTTAAGTTGTAAAATGAGCAAGACAATTTTTGGTTTCAGCTCCAAATGGAGAGCTGAAAAGAATGCCACTCATACCTATAGTAGGAAAAATTTTGGACAAACTGCAAAACAACAAATTTTCTTAAAACCACCAGAGAACTAAGTCCACAGGGCAAATAGTTACCCCAGAATCTAGAGAGAGACTCATGGAGGGAGAAATAGTACACAAACATTTGTTTATTTGGGATAGAAACCACCAAACACATGTAGGACAATAAGAAAATTTAGCTAAAGACTGCTAATGCATTTCTAAAGACTGTGTGGGGGCTAGCATGAGAGTTTGAAGTTCCTCAGGGCCACAGACATAAGGGGCTTGCACTCTTCTTGCAGGCTTTACTTTAGAAACTGGATAGGTG